TTATGGCAGACTTGGTGACTATCTTTCAAATCACAATTTTTTAAAATTCTTTGGTAAAATGTAACTGGATTCATCTGAATATAGAGATCACTGTGATTTAAGGCCCTGTGCTATAGCACCTCCTTGCAACAGGAGCTCACTGAAGCAGTGCTCCATCTGTGACATACAGTACTGCAGCTGGGACTCCTGTTCTTGTAGAGCTTGTTTAATTTTCACTCCAGCTCTTCCACATCCATCAGTTTTTCCTTATTGTGTTTTACATGTCAAAACAACCTTACATTTTTCACATTCCAGGTCTAAATGAGCTTTTTCAGTTAGAGCCTGGTGGCTATTTAGATTATACAGAGAAGGTGGATACCGCATTTTAAATCTCATGCAGGTACCGAAACACACCCATTTGGGTACATTTGTGTATTATTGGTGAACGCTATAAAGGTCTCATTATGGGCTGATCAACAGTCAGTAACAGAGAGAGTCTCTGGACAAGGAAGACCTCACTTGCAGAGGAAGAGGTAACCATCGTTCAGCACTGTCTGAAGAACCGAACTCAGCAACAGACACAGGTGAGACACTGTCTCTCTTGTGTTCAAAGTTTCTTTCTTTGATTCAGATTCTGTTATAATTTATTGAATTAGAAAATTCTAAATCAGAAGAACAATCCACATTGGGCTAGGCATTTAGATTTGAAGTCAATGTGAAAATGTTAGAACACGTGGGAAATCAAGTTTTTATAAGATTTTTTTGTAAAGGATCTTTTTTAACTTTAATTCACCCCAACTGTAAATAATATAGCATGTATAATATATGTATAAAGTTTATAGATCTTCGATTGTACAGGATATGGAATGTCTCCTGTAAAGAAATGACAATGTAACATTTCTCTACACTATACGGGCTAACGGATATTTAAATATTAAACGTGAAAACTGAGCCTCAAAATTCTTATGCCTTCCTTCTAGACTAATGGATTAAGAGTGGCAGATTAATTTTAGTCAGACTCTTGAGGTGTTTGAGTTTCACTCAACTTAGTCTTTTAAATGCCATCAATAAGTTTTATCAGCTGTTAAAGGTCCGGCTCACTGTTCCTCACCAGCGGATTCACTATGAAGGCTGTCATCGTCTTGGCCTCTGTGGTTCTCTGCCTCCACCTGGGCACCTGCATTGACCCTTCCCTGGACTTGGAGTGGGAGAACTGGAAGATGAAGCACAAGAGAGTCACCAGGAGGAGAGTGAGTAGGAGAGAATTCACTGTCCAATAGGGAGACTTTTAAATGATATGCAAAAAGTGCCGAACAACAATGAATGCCTCTGGCTGCCTTGTAAGAGCTGTAACAGGAGAAGGCATTCTGTATGCCACCAGAAGCTTCAGCTTTAAGATGCTGTTTTGTTTCAGGCTGATGACCAACAGAAAAGAGAAATCTGGGAGAAGAACTACGGAGTTATCGAGAGTCACAACAAGAGATACAGAGAAGGCAAGGAGACATATGAAATGGGCATGAACCGATTTGGAGACCTGGTGAGTGGCTCTCTCTGCTTCTCTGCTTTCAGTTCAGACTGTGTTTATTCCAGAACTTGCTGAGCTCACCTCTCTTTC